ATCATTATAACACCAACAATCAGCATGCGCGCCACCCGGCGGCTCCAGCCTAAATAGCTCGCTGTTCTGCCCTCTCCCTGGGGAGGGTGTTGCCTCCTAGTAAATCTAATAAAGAGGCGATTGATAACGACCAGGTACCGCGCCACTGCCCAGACCATTTTCATTGAGTCCTAACTGAAAAAGCGCAAAAACATATGGAGGTTGGTCAGATAACAACAAAGGGGTCGGCCACCACCCGTTACTCCTCACCTTCCTCCTAGCAGGACAATGAGAGAATTCCTGGCCGGAGACCCCCTGGGATTTTTTACCTTTGTGCCTAAATAGTCGGAATCTGTGCTTGGCGGAGTGGGGGAGGGGTGAGAAGCGGGGGAGAAACAACACCTGAGTCTCCAGCTCCCTCTCCCTCATTCTTCCTTAGCTTTCCTTTCTGCAGGAGGTTCCCGCACACACGTCTGAAATCTTTCCCAAGGACCACACTAAATTATGGACTGCCATCTGACACCGACCCCTCAGCTCTCACCCTCAACTGTGGGTGTTTCTTTTTTAATTTATTTTTTATTAATGTATAGTTGACATACAGTATGTGGGTGTTTCTAATGCAGTCAGCAAAAGAATGGAAGATGATTTTAACCACCACCTGTGCACATAATTAATCCCATCTAGATTTCCAGGCCCCATTCTCGCCATAGTGTATCTCCAACTAACAATAAATGTTAAACTCTTAAGTATGAAATTCTGACAATATTGAAATATCAGAAAAGAGATCTCATTTAATTCCATTTTACTCATGAGTAAACTGAGCCTCAGAGGCATGACTTGCTTCACATCACACCATAAATATTTGTTCACTACATCACTGATAAAACCTGGCTTGTTGGACTTCAATGCCTGCTTCTCATAGGTACCATACCTCATTTAAATGCAGGAGAAGAGGAGGTGTGGTCTCAAGCAAAGCCAAACCTGCAGAAGCACCAGCATGGATACAGGCCCTTCTAGGCTAGGTGTTTCTGGAAAAGAGAAGAGGAGCTGAATAATCAAAGAATGATCACACCTGGTGTCAAACCCATAATTCCATCCAGCCCAATCAGCTAATAGTCGTAAAGGAGCAACAAGGGTTGTAAAGGAGTGCTTCTCCCCCAGCAAAACATCTCAGTGAGTAAGGCTGGACCCAAATATCCTTATTTCCTTTAAATAATTCATTATGAATATGTCACACATGAAATCTGCCCAAAATCCAATCATTTTTTAAGTAATTGGTATTTTCAACTAGCTACAACTCCATTTTGTCATTCCTTAAATATTTATTGAGAACTATGTGTACAGCAGCTAGTGTAGCAATGAAGAGACAACAAAGGAAACATAAAAGAAAATTCTTGTCCTCCTAGTCTTAAAAATCTAGGTAGGGCAAGAAAACACACACACACTATAATTGAAAACTGTATTACATAGTGGTTAGGAGTGCAGTCTTTGGAGTTAGACCTAGGTTAAATTCCCGGCTCAGCTGTGGCCTGGAGCAAATTTTATAACTTCTCTGAGCCTCAGTTTCTGGAAATAATATACATGTTTCACAGGATTCTTGTGATGCTTAGATGAGATTATAAAATCAAATTTTCCTGCCTGGCACATAAGAAGTATTCAATAAAAACTTTATTCATATTCAAAATAATATATTTGTATATATGATAATGATGTAGTTGCTTAGAATAGGTGATTGACTCAATTATGAGATTAATTGACAAATTAGTGTTGTAAATATTCAGGGAAAGAAGTCATCAGTACAGACTGGAACATATAAAGAAGCCCTCTTAGTTTGTAAGGGGTTGAGGAGGGAGGTTGGCAGAGACTTAAGCTAAGCCATGAAGGGTGGATGAGCTCTGGACCCACAAAAAGGTATGAAGTCAAGTCAGGGTCCCATGTACAGACCAGCCTAGCAAGTGCAGTGTTTGTTAGGCAGGAGAGGAAGATAACGTTGGATAATGAATGACTCCCTCTTGGAGTAATGGGTGTCATAAATTTATTACCTTATATGTAAACAATAATTCTTATCATCAGTCATAAACTCACACCAGTCAAGTCTAACAGTGTATTTAATAGACACTTAATTATTCAATAAAAACTTAGTTAATTAGAAGCATGAGAAGGTACCCTCCAATTCTAGCATTCCAAGTTTTTGTGAACAACTGTTCTTATTCACCTATCCATCCTTTTCATGCATTTGTAGATAGCAGTCAACCATATTTCCTTCCTCAGCTTTTATTTTTCCAGAAGTTCCATGGTGTCCTCATCATTATGGACTTTCTCCAATTTCAATACCTCTTGTAGTACAATGAATGGCCAAGTGGAAGATATTGAATTTTTTGTTTGTTTTTATTATAAAACAATGTAATAATAATGCAAACTGCATAAAAAATCACCCAGAATTCCTAATAAACCAACTATTTGTGTTTTTGCATGCTTTGTTATGGTCTTCATATATATGTATATACAGGAGTGGGCAAAAATAGATTTATAGTTATAATGCAAATTAATTATTATAGTAAATAATAATACAAAAATAAACTCTGTGTTTCACATACAACTGCAAATCTACTTTACCCAGCCCTGTATATCATATATTAAATTATCATATAATTGTGCATTCTCCTTTTTTCATGATTAAATATTTTTTTCAAATTACTACTAGAATTTATTAAAGATAAAAAAGTTTGTTCAGTTTAAAAACATAAATATTTATTTAATCATTCTGAAAAAGTAAAATCAGTAGAACAAATGTGTACAAACAATCAAAAAAATAAAAAGAATTCATATGTTCATAGTGACACTTTAAAAAGGCAGGGGAAAGCTCTTCTTTATAGAAGAATACCAGCTAATAAGTCTATAAGAAATGCTAGAATTAGAAAATCACCATCTTGCAATTACCGAAGTAATAACTTATTCAGACAAGGGTAATCAATAAATAAAGTGTTGGGAAACAGGATATTCACATGATCTCCAACTACTCCCCCTCCCCCCAAATTGCATTTTAATTACAAAGGGAAAGGCACTTGTATTAGTTTTCAATTTCTACCATAACAAATTACTACAAACTTATAGGCTCAAAACAACACAAATATATTAGTCCACAGTTTATGTAGGTCAGAAGTCTGGCACTGCATGGCTGGATTCTTTGCTCAGGGTTTCATGGAGATAAAATAAAAGTATCTGCATTTCTTTTTAGATGCTCTGGGGAAGAATCCCCTTTCAAGCTCATTCAAGTTGGCAGAAGTTAATTCCATGCACTTGTAGAATTCAGATCCCCATTTCCTTAATATGTGGTTTTCTCCATCTCCAAGCCACAGTACACCGTATCCTTTTCCTGCTTTGAATCTCTCTGACTCCCCCTCTTTTTAAAAAATACATTTTCATTGACTTCAGAGAGGAAGGGAGAGGGAGAGAGAAATAGAAACATCAATGATGAGAGAGAATCATTGGTCAGCTGCCTCCTACACGCTCCACACTGGGGATCAAGCCTGCAACCCGGGCATGTGCCCTGACCAAGAATC